GGCCCCCAGGGGCCAGCCCCCCCCCCCCGGCAGCCCCTTCCCTGCCCTGGGAGCAGCGGGGGCCGGTGGGTGTGGAGAGGGGTGGGGGCGCATCTGCCATCCCGGTCCCTGGCCTGTCCCCGGGGGAGAAGCCGTTGCAGGAGAACCACTGCCAGGGCGAACTGTCCAGGGAGCTGGTCTGAAAATAATGAGGAAATTCAATCTTCCCGTGGCCTGCTCCGTCGTCACTCCCTCCTCGGGAAGCCCGGCCCCCGGCAGCTCCGGTGCAAACACCGGTGTGCGTGCCTGCATGCGCCCCGGTGTGCACCCTGCTCCCCGTCCCTGCACGGCCCCATGCCCCGTGCCCCAGGGGCGGGTGATGCTGGGCCCCTTTGGGGTCCGGCTCCCGGCCCTCGCCTGGTGCTGCCCCAGCCTCCTGCTCCCCTCCACCAGCCAGGCCCAGCTCAGGACGTGGCAAAGCGGCGGCGGCGAGGCCGGCCTGGCGCGTGCGGTGGGGTGCCGGGTCCCTGCACACCCTGCGGTGGGGTGTCCTGCTGCCTCCTGCCCTTCCCGACCCCCTCTCCATGTGTGGGGCTGGGGCGAGCTCCCCTCTCCCCAAACCGCTGCCTCGGCTCCGCTTCAGCTCTGGACCCTCGCTCGGGTGCTCCCGGCTGGCCGCGGTGTCCTGTGCAGTCATCGCAGGGACGGGCACCGTCCTTCCCGCCTGCTGCTCATCACCGGTGTGTCCGAGGCACCCCTTGCTGCGTCCCAGCACCCGCAGCGATGGTGTTGCCCCTTCTCTGGCTGTAGCGGGGTCAGGGTCCCCTCGGGGAGGCTGTGGGGCCGGGCCGGCTCTCGCAGCCCCATCCTGCCGTGCCTGCCCCAGCTCGGGAGCGCCGTGACCTAGAAATTTCAGCCGTGGTTTGTCACGGCAGTCGCTCCCCGCTGAGGGGGGACGGCCTCCCCGGGTGGCCAGCACCCCGCCGCGGGTGGGCAGGAGCCCTGTGTGGGGCAGGGGCCCCAGCCCTGCTTGTGCAGGGCAGCCGTGCCGTGCCGTGCCAGCTTGGTGTGCGTGTCCCCGCAGCCAGGACGAGGGCTGGTGGAGTTGGTCCCCTGGGTGAGGAGGGTCCAGGGGTGCGGGAGCGGAGCCTGGCCAGGGTTTTGCAGGACCACGGCAGGTCTCCATCCCAGGAGGACTCACGGCCGTGCTCTCCCTGCCCTCCCACCTGCCTCCCCCCTTAGGGATCCCTGAGGCCCCTGCTTGCCCCCAGGGAGCGCAGCGGGTCCCAGCAGCCACCCTGGCAGCAAGAGGGTTCTGCCCCCCACCCTGCTGCCTGCGGGAGAGCAGCCACCAATGTCCCCTGGGGCTGGGGAGACAGGCCTGCTCCCCACCACCCCGGCGCTCTGCCACCGCCGCCCCACCGTCCTCAGGGCTCTGCTCCCCGCTGCCCCGGGGCTCCCCCACCCCTGGCCGGGGTCTGGGGTCCGGGGTCTGGCCCAGCCCCGTGCCCCACTGCAGGCCGAGGCTGTGGTCCCACTGCCAGCTCTGATGCTTTCGCCACAGATCTGCGAGTATTTGGTGCTGTCTCAATGGCCTACTTCTGGGAATTATGTGATTTGGGGAAATCTCTCTCTCTGTGAAATGGCAGTAAGCACTGGCCTCCGTGCTGGGGTGAGGGGCTGGAAAAGGGGAGTTTGGGGCAAAAGCAGGGGCCAAAGCAGCGGAGGTGGCTCAGGAGGCAGCTGTGGCTGTGGGGGCTGTGACTCCCGCTGCGTGGGGGTCTGCTCCCGCTGCCAGCCGGGTCCTGGGACCGAGACCCAGTGAGACCCCAATGAGACCCCAGCAAGGCCCCAGACCCATCCGTGCCGGAGGAGCCCCATGTTCCCTGACCCCACCCGGGGGCTGCCGCGCTCCCTCAGGCTGGGCCATGGGGGGCCCTGGGCGTCCCCGGACCCCAGCAGGGTACGGGTGGGCAGAGGGTCCTCGCCGGCACCCGGGTGCTCCCGCACCTCCCACCCTACAGAGCCGCCAGAAACGTTTCATTTCCGTTTCCTGACACCAAATCCTGCCAAGAGTTGTCGTCTTTTTCCTTTTTTTTTTTTCCCCTTTCCCTGCAGAACCGCTGGTTTCCATGACACCCCTGTTCCTGACGGGAACGGCTCCGCTTGGTTTCTCTGACTGCCCTTACTCGGGCAGGGGCAGCCCCAGCCCTGCCTGTGGGGCAGGCAGGAGGCAGGCAGCGCGGGCAAGGCTGGGGTGTCGGGGCATTGATCCTCCCTCGCCGCCCGCCATCCCTGCCTGCGCGGGCAGGGCCTGCGCCGGGGCAGCGCTGCGGGATGGCGCACGGCTCTGCTTCAGGTTAAACCTAAAGTAAACCCCCGAGGAAAGCAGCCCTGTGGCACAGGTCACCCTGAAGCCAGTGGTGGCGGCAGCCGTCCCCGCCTCGGCTCCGATGTGCCTTGGGTTTGGCTCAAGGAATTTTTCTGGGCTGGGAATCTGGGAGACGCGCTGCCCGCTATGGCGGTGGCCTTGGCACCTCTGCCCGGCCGGGGGCAACCCGTGGCTGCGTGGCCCTGAGCCGCGCTGGGCTCTCACCGCCCCGGCATGAGGCCAGTGGTGAATCTGGGCAGTTTGTGGCGAGCTGGGCGGGAGGGAGCGTGGTGCTGAGAGCAGCCACCCCGGGCACCGCTGGCCTTGCCTGGCTCCCAGCTCGGGGCGACCCCCAGGAGCGTGCCATGTCGGCTTGGCTGGTGCTCCTGTGCCGGCACCGTGGGGCGATGGTGCCACGCCAGCATGTCCCTGTGGCATTGCCTGGTTGGTGCTCCCATGCTGGCACCCTGGGGTGATGGCGGTACGATGCCAGCACGTGCCTGCGGTGCCAGTCGGCTCTCCAGGCCCTGATGGTGCTGTGGGGGGAGCGGGAGGCACTTCCCTGAGGTCTGTCGGCGTGTCGCCCCCAGCCCTGACGTCCCCGGCCCCTCTCCCCAGGCCCCCCCAGGACATCAGCCTGGAGGAGTTTGATGACGAGGACCTCTCGGAGATCACGGACGACTGCGGCATCGGGCTGAACTACGACTCGGACCACTACGAGAAGGTGCAGGAGCTGAGTGTGCCGAGTCCCCCTGGGGATATGGTGTCTGTGAGGGGCTGTGCCGAGGACTGGGGGGCCATTGGCCTGGCAGGGCCCCTCCTGGAGTGGAGGGTGCAGGGGCCCCTGTGCCAGGGCGCGGAGGGGATGCACCGCAGAGTGCAGCCGGGTTTCAGAGCCCAGGGACCCCGCCGGCATGGCCAGGCACCCCGGGGCCTCTCACTGCCTCTGGCCGAGCCCCATGAGGTGGCTGCAGGGAACGTGGGTGGCTCAGCAGCCGGGTGCCCGCCTGTAGCTCCCATGGCTTCCACTTACGCAGCTCATCCCCAGCTCTACCTGGCACTGGGGTGGACCGTGCTGGGGAAACGGGCAGGGTCCGGGCAGGCATGTGGGTGGGATGAATTGCTGAGTGTTGGGGCCAGGACAGGCAGGGAGGGACAGGCAGGGAGCCGGCGGAGCCAGGGGGATCGCTGGTCCCTGGCGCAGAGGCTTCCCTCTGCTCGGAGACCCCCATCCCATGGGGGCGGGAGCGGAGGCGCTGCCAGCCTGGTGCTGGCAGAGCCTCTGGGGAGGGTCGCGGTGCGGCGGCTGTGCCGTGCCGGGGAGTGGGGCCGTGGCGGGGTGAGCGCAAGCACCGTGGCCGCTAACCCGGTGCCGCATCCCCAGGACTGCCTGGTGCTGGAGCGCGGCGAGCAGCCGCACCCCGTCTGCACCTTCCAGGATGACTTCCAGGAGTTCGAGATGATCGACGACAACGAGGAGGAGGAGGAGGAAGAGGAGGAGGAGGAGGGCAACGAGCTGGAAGCTCCACCGTCCCCTTCAGCCTCACCCATCCCCTCGCCTGCCCTGGAGGAGACGCAGAAGCACCGGCCCACCACCCTCAACCTGACGGCCCCGGGCACCCAGGTGAGGGTGGGGGTGGCTGGGAGGGGTCTCTCTGCCCCCCGCACCCCAGGGCTGGTGGAGGAGGAGGAGCAGGGGTTCTGTGGGCTGTGGTGTGGGAAGGGGCCCCCCAGGGCTCTGCCCGGGGGTGGGCTGAGGGCTGCGCCCGCCCTGGGGGTCCCAGGCACCAGGAGCGCCAGGAGGGCAGAGAAGGGCAAAGATGGTGCTGGCTCCAGCTCCGCAGTGGCGGGGCTGAGCTGGAGACGTTGGGGATGGGTCTGTGCGATGCCAGCGGGGCCCCTGCACGTTCCCTGCCGGGCCCTGGCCCAGGCGTCTGGGGGGTCCCACGGGCCCCATCCCCATGTGCAGGGCGCTGGGGTGAGCAGGGGGTCCGGGACGTCTCCGTGTGGCAGAGGGCTGCAAGGTGCTGCAGGTGGTTGCTGGCTGCGGGCACCGCGGGTGTCGCGTGCCGGCCCTGTGCGTCACACGTGTGTGCACGGCTGCGTGTGCACGGATACTCGTGCACACCACATCCCTCCTTTTCCGTCCCCGGAGCTGGGCTCAGGGGCTCCCCCGGGGCGGGTGGGGTGGGGGGGGGCCCCGCAGGCGTTGCCGTGTCCCCGCGTCCCCGCGCGCACGCATGTGCGGTGCCGGCCCTGAGCTGCCACGCCACCGCAGTGTGTGGGAAGCCGCATGCGGTGCTGCCTGCATCCGGCTGCGTTGCCATGGTGCCGGGGGGCTTTCAGGATTCTCGGCCCCCTCCCGGGAGGGCACCACACGCTGCTGGCGCTGGGGGGCTGTCGGGGGGCTGGGGGTCCTGGCCAGGCCGGCACTGGAAGGTGACAAAGCCCCAGGGCTCTCCCCCAGAGCCCGCCAGCCCTGACCCGCTGCACCCCGGGGGGATGCACTGGCAAAGCTGGATCACTCCGGCTGCCCTGATCCATCGTCCCTCGGGGTGTGAGCAGAGCCCCCGGTGGTGGCCGGATCCGGCCCTCATTGGTGTGCCCGGGGTGCAAATCCCAGTAATCTCTGCTCTGACCCATTTGCACCAGCCCCAGGAGGAGGCAAGACCCTGGTCCTGGGGCGCCGTCCCCCCCAGTGCCCGTTCCCATCCGCCCCAGAACCCATCCCCAGGGCTGCAGCACAGCCCGTGCGATGCCCGACCCCCCCCACCGCGCCAGGTCCCTGCCACCCTCCCTCCCGCCGCGCTCGTGCGTGCCCCACGGCACGTGGCACCGGTCCCGCTCGCTAATCTCCCGCTCGGCGGGATTATCGCTGCCTGTGCTTCCCGCCGGGACTAATCTGCAGCTGCCGCCGCACCGGCCGGGGCAGCCGAGGCTCTGCCAGCTCCTGCCCATGCTGTGGGGCTGGCAGCTCTTTGGGGGAGGCGGTGGGGTCCCGCACGCTGGGGTCGGGCTCTGCTCTCGGGGGGACAGGTCGCAGCAGGGCCTCGTGCCGGGGGTCCCGTGGGGAGAGCCCCGGTGCCAGCGCGTCCCCTGCGTGGTGGTGTCCCTGGGGCGGTGCAGGACGGGTGGCGTGCTGTCCCTCGGTCCTGCTCTGTGACAGGCACTGCCCTGGCCTGAGTCTGGCCGGGCAGGGGAGCTGGGGACGTCGTGGCCCTAATCCGGATAAGCCCCTGGGCACGTGGTCTGGGCGCTCCCAAGGGGCACCGAGCGGTGCTGAGGAGCATTCCCGCACCGGCCCAGCCTCATCTGGTGCCCCCCTGTCCCTGCGCAGCCCCTGCCAGGCGCCCTGGCTAAGCCCCTCTTGCTGGGTCCCCAAATGCCCCGTGGGCGCTGTCCCTGGGCTCGGCCGAAAAAAAACGGGGCTCGCCCACCCACCCCCCCTGGCTCTGCTCTTCCCCCAGGACTCCCTGAACAACAACGGCAGCTTCCCGCCACCGGCTCACCGCACCACCTGGCAGGAAGCCCTTCTCCACTCCTCCTCCTCCTCCTCTTCCTCACACATCGGTGAGCGCGGGTTGGGGATGGGGTCCTGGTCCGGAGCGGGGCCGTGGGGCAGGGGCTGGTGCCGGGGTGGGCTCCGGCCCGGGGGTCCCACGGCCATCCCGCTTTGGCTAAAGCCTGGCGGGATTTTCGCCCCGGCGCGGGGGGCAGAGGGCTGACGCGGGGCTCTGCCTTCCCTTGCAGGACACTTGTCTCCCCACGCCTGCATCCAAGACGGACCCTGCCTGGAGAGCCCGAAGGGGCCGAGCTCCGGGGGGGCCGGGCAGGCCCCCGCCTCGCTGCAGCCCTCCCCCTTTGACTCGCAAGGCAACAGCCACGAGTCCCTGGCACATGGTAACCCATCGCCCCCGAGAGCCGGGGAAGATTATAACATGAATATCATCTCTGCGCTCCGAGCACCGCATTCCCCGTCGCACCTCCGCCAGCCACCCCCTGAACCGTCTCTCTCTCCAACAGGGCCTGCGGCTCCCCCCGGCCCCCCCCCCGGC